CAGAGAAATAGTTCTAGATTTACATTTTTAAACACTAATTTATAAAAGCATTGGTAGATTCCCATAATACAGCTGGTAGTCAACTGAACAAGATAATGAATTGCCTGAGATCATTGTTTCATCTTCATCCAAGAAAGCTGCCTCTAAAAAAAGATTTTAAATTGCTGTATAAATCCAATTTGTAAGAAGCAAAAGAAGCATATAGATGGGAAACACCAGCCATGATCGCATTAATTTTATGACTAACAGCATTGCTTTGAAAAAGGAAAAAAATAAAGAAAAGATGACAAAATTCATAAATCCATTCAAATCCTCAATTTTAATCTATCCACACAACCAGAAGAAAACCAACTACAAATACAAAATTTACATCTTGGGGATCCAGCAAAAATCACCTTCCCACAAAAGAATTTTCAACTTAATAAGAAGCAAACTCCAAAGCTAAGGAAATAATATAGGATGGTGTAGCATCATAGCTAAAAAAGCAAATTACAGTAAGAAATCGGGAGACCAGAAACTTGACATCAGTACAAATAGCCATAGAAAGTTCATGATTGATTGGTCTCGAGTCTGCAGGTGTGGAAAACTGAGAAATGTTGTAAGGAAAATCTTCAACTTACTGTAATTGAAAAGCTATACAGGAAAAGTCTCTCTTGCAAACTACCATTCATTTAACCTATTCAAATAGAAGCTGCAACGTCTCAGAGATATAGAAATAAGGCAGAGTTTCCACTTGTTTGTGGGAATGTTCTAATAAACTATCTGCTCATGTATAAACTATATAAGGTCACAACTGACTTCCAGTTGACAGGTAATTTATGAATATCACCGAATTACATTAAACAACAGTCATCTGGAAGATATTATCAATTGAACAAACATGTTTACTTTGAGTAAAGTTGAAAAACAAAAATGGTTATGACTCAGGATTTAAAATTAACAGATCTATACAAAATGCTACATGCAAAGGAAAATGAGAACATTTATAGGGAGGCACAAGTGAGTTCTTTTATTACTCTCATTTTAAGTTTTAAAACTAAATAGCTGATATTCAATCAATAGCATCCTTTCTCAGAAGAACACAAATCTAGGTTTGGATATGGAGACTGGGGTTTTTTTGTTTTATTTCTAATTTTTAGGTCTCTTTTTTAAGAACCTCCATATCAAAACATATGTACTTTTTGAAGTGATTCATGAAAACCCACGGAAAAGTGAATTCTTACCTGAGAAGCTACTTAACATGTTTCATAGCTCTTCCACTACAGTTCACATGATCATGAACATTATTTTAATTGGGCAATAATGGTCTTATTCACACACACACATATACATACATGTTTACACACTCACAAAACCTTCCACACAAATGCTACCAAGTCCCAGGAAACCGACAAAAGTAACACTAAAATTCAGTGCAAAATACGAATTCCATTTCTGATTCTGTCTACAAAAACACAAGATTGGCCTCATTTAACCAACTGCAAAGTTCCCTTTCTGCTTAATAAGCATAATAAACATCATCTTACCATTATCTGTAGAATAAAGCAGCAACGTGTTGCTTCCTGCAGCCACCAAATCAAGTTTTCTCTTCCCTTCTTTCTATTTAACTTCTTTTCACCAGCAAGATTAGGAAGAAAATCAATCTTTGGGTATTTGCCTCAGTATTTCAGACCATAAGATTGTGAAAATAGCTCTTAGTAAAATAAGAACAGGACTGGTATTTTACAATCACTCCTACAACCCGAAGGTACCTCCTAGACTCCTGTACCTCCTCTCCTCTCGTTCTCTAAGTTTCTTTTAGTAATGAGACTAATTTTTCCAGTAGTCTTGAACTCCCTAGATTTAACTGACATGGAAAAAGTGACTAAAAACTTGTAGAACTGTCTAGCCTCCAACCCTACACAGAATCAACTTTGTTGTAAGTGTTGAAGAACACCTCACAAGCAGCTACTTGCTCCTTTAGACTTTGCACTTCACAGCACAGAACGCCAAATAACAGTGCGCCATCTAGTTAGCAAGTTGCATTCTCCATTCTAGAAGGGGGGACACCTTCAAACCCTGAGAGTTAAGAACTTGTCAGGGTTGAGCTGCTCTAAAGGTCCAATTGTTTATTTAAATAAAAAAAACATATCGCTACTGAGATAATCCACATCGAGTGGATATGGGAAAATTTAGGTTATAATGGCACTACAAACTTTTACATCTAACTTTGATTTACAAGATAAAAGCAAGTTTTAAATTAAAAGGGCTTTCTGTTAATAGAGCTTATTATTCTGAAGACGGGAATGATTTTCTTCGAAAGTTGTCCCTGGGTGCATGCCTATTATCTTTGCTTTTCCCCTTCCACTAATGAGCATTTATCTAAAGAGCCTGTTAATCCTCTGATGTGTGCTTCTGGTCAGAGGTAACAGTTTGAATAAAACCACTAATCAGTGATCACTAAATCACTGATCATTAATCACACTCTCCAGTGCCAGTGACCCGGGCCTTTTTTTCCTTTAGGTCCATGCATCACAAACAAGAAGTTTAACATTTTAGATGTATATACATTGTGTGGGGGTTATACTATTCCATCTCTGGATGTGAATAAATAATAAATACTGCTGCAAACTTAGGAAAGGATGTCAATTAGACGCCAGACAAGAGTTTCACAAATGCCTACTCTACAGCATGGTTTTTACTTTGAAGAAAATAGATTTGATTATAACAAAACATGTGTTCTTCAAGAAATTCCCACATACTCAACATAAATTTTCTTTTATTTAGCTTTCACCAACTCCAAATCAGAGAGCACTCAAATCCTCTGCCCCTCTCTATCCAAAATCCTGTCAGTTAATTTTTTGATTTCTGCTTCACACCCCTACCCCTTAAGAGTTTTTACTTTTATCCCTTAAACATCTCACACACAGTTTTTATTTCAACTACCAGATATGGAGATTTTGACTCAATTTAAAGACTTAGGTATTTAACTTGCTCTTTAAATACAGAAACTTCAGGTTAAGAGAAAGAAACACACGCAGCAATTTATTGTACAGTACTTTGGGTATAACAACTCAATGCCCTCACTTTGGAAATGAACTGTTTAATCTTGATTCTTTCAGCTAAATTTGATTTAGTCAGCATCCTCACTTCATCTTCCCTCTTCGGCTTAAGCGGTTTGGAGGAAGGCGATATGTAAAATTAAGTACTTCGTTAGCAACGAGTGTGTCGTTTTCCTAAATCACTACAGGGTCACACTTTTATCATACCATCTCTATAACCATCTACTGAGATGCCTTTTCTGTTAGCGCTGAGCATTTTCGCCCTGGAAAAGAGCGGTTGGCTAGTGCCTTTCTTAAATAATAGAAAAGGGCAGATTGTGTGTGCGCTGATCAGGTACTGTGCTCCCCTCAGACACCAGAAGCTCTTACCCACACTCCAGGGAAAGCAGTCGCCCCAGGGAGAGCAGTAAAAGGCGGAGGCGGGGCCAGAGTGATAACGGTGTGGGCGGGAGAGGGGGTCAGAAGGAGGGGTCCAGGAGGAGTGGGCAACAAAGATGCCCAGGGAAAGGGCGACTGTACGAGAATGTTAGGAGGTGGGGATGGAAAGCAGAGTTGCTTGGTCAGCATTCTAAGTCCCCGAAACCCTTGAGTATCTGAAACTGTTAATCAAACACTGACCTGCAGAATGACGTAATGGACCTGTATCCAGCCCTTATTCCTTGACACACGTCAGAGAGGGAGGGAAAAGTTCAAATCAAACACACTGCACACACTGACGACGAAATACACAAGCAGACCTCTCCAGTTCCTGGCCTTCAACAAGCATCGGTGGGGGTGGCACCCTTTCAGGGAAAATTCAGAAGGGGGTAGACAACGTCTGGAGCTTTATTTACCTGATACCCCTCTCCCCACCCCCCGAAATAAATCTATAGCAAAGAAGCAGGATGCAGCCGCCGGGAGAAACATCTCCTTGGTTCCTTCGCCCCTCTTAAGAACTTCGTAAAAAGTTTAAGCGGTTTCGTGGAGAATCTGCTGAAGAAGGTTCCGCCGCCGAGTCCTGGGAACTGCCACCGCGCCGCAGAGGCAAAAGTGAGAGCTGTCATTTGGGGCAGCGGCGGGGAAGAGACAATGATGCCAGCGAGGACAGGACGCAGGCAGGAGGCGGCTAGAGACGTAAACGCCAGCAGAGCCTCGCCACTCTCGAGCCTTCGGCGCCTGGAGCGAAAGCCAAGTGCCCTTCAAGGGCGACGTCCCCACCCCTGGCGCGCGCCCCCACCATCTGCGGCAGGCAGCCCCACGTGGAGGTGCAGCAGAAGGCTCAGCACCTGGTAGGGAGCGAGCCCCGTGCGCCTGCCCGCCCGCCCCCTAGGTGACCCGGCGTCCTCGCCGCGCCCGCTGGAACTTTGCAAACTTTCTCCGGGGGTTCCGCCGCATCACGGGGAAGTTGGGGGCGCGGGGGAAGGTTCCTGGCTCGCCGTCTCCGCTGCCGCCGCCGCTGCCGCCGCTTGACCGCACTTCTGGAGGGTTCCGCACCTTGCCAGGTCTCTGGAGGCAAACACACACCCCCGATTCATAACTGTTCCCCGAGTCAGGGAAACACACGCGCGCTCCCACACACGCACGCACGCCGGGGCGGACACGGCGCTCGCTCCACGTTAGCATCCCTCCAGTCGCACGGCGCGGCGGCCACCAAAACGCGCTCGGGGACGGACACGGCGTGGGGGTCTCTAGGGTGGCCTCAGGACACAGCAGAATTCCACAGTTCACCAGCATCTGGGGCCGGACTTCCTCTGGTCCGCCAAAGTGTTTACAAACACAGATGACCCTCCAAAAAATGCATCGCGTCTTCCCTACTCTTTGCCCTGTGACCTGCCCACTGAACCAAGTAACCTCGCCGCTGCTGCCGAACCAACCCTTGCAAACAAGTATGCTCCCGATACGGCTCCCGCAGCAAGTGCAACAAAAGTGGCTAAATGCAAAAGCCCCAGAAGTGGCCGAGCCGTATTTTTAGGAACTTACCAAGCAAGTGTGGAGAAGGCAAGAGCGGAGCCCGGGTGAAGGGACCACGTTGGACTGAGCAAAGATTACAATACATTCTATTTAGAGTGCATTACATCACCCCCCCGGTGACGTCACGTGGGATTCCTGAACTTCTAAATCATTGCGGTCCGCTGGGGAGGGAGATGGGGGGCGGGGCCGGCGCGCTGAAGGGGCGGTCCCCACCCCAGCCCCGGCCCCGGCCCCGCCCCACATTCAGACCCTAGTGCCCCCGCCCGGGAGCGGCGGCGGCTGTGGCGACCGCGAAAGCAACAGCTTGCACAGCCCAGCGCCGTGTGACACGGTTCCCTGACATTAGTAGTGTGAGTCAGCTTGGAAACAATCCTCACGCTTTGAGACAGGCCCACGGAAGCGGCATGGACACGGGATCTCCTGCGAGGAGAGTGATAGCGTTTGGAAGGTGTGGGGTCGCGGGTAGGGAAGAGGTTGGAAGGGGGCTGCTGAGGATGCTGGAAGAGACTTTTCGTTAACAGAAATGCAGGACGCACTTCCCTTCCCCCATCAGATAGATGTCCGGCTCCCTTTTGCCGGCGACAGTTGTGACCTCATTACAGTGTTCCCTGCATCCTGGTTTCTCAGAGCACTAACTCAACACCCCTTTTCCATCGTCCTCCACCCCACTTCATCTCCAAGGGAATAACTTCCTTATTGAACACACTCATAGGGAACACACAACCCTCACCCTTTTCCAAGACCCCTCCTTCATGGATCTGAAAAGCCGGAGGGGAGTTGCTCCTGGAGGGGAAAGGTGAATCACTGCTGGAGCCAAGTGATGAGCCTGATTTAGACTCAGCGTCAGAGCCGGAAGGGCCCTGGGAGATCACTTGCAGAGCCTTCTCTGTAACTCACCCAAGCTCACAGGCTGGCAAATGGCAAAGCCAGAACACAGGATCTGGGTGCCTGGTCTGCAGTATCTTCCTGACAGCTCCTAAAGAGAAGCCATCACCATTCTCTGCTTCCATTCAGGTATCTCCCTGTGAGTAGGACCCAAAGGAGAAGCATAGTCTAAATTTTGGCTGATCCTGGATGACTATTGTCACTCTTGCAGCAGCTCACACTTTCCAAAGCACTGGCACCCACGTGAACTCCCTTGATTCTCAGTACAACCCAGCACAGGGAGAAGTAGGGCAGGTGTTATAACTTGCCCCATTTCACAGATGAGCTAAGGTACACTCCAGAATGTTAGAGGGCTGGCCTGAAGTCACTTGAGCAAGTGGTGCACTGGCACCACCCTAACCCATTTCCAAATCCCAAATTCCAAATGGGCTCCTTTCTAGAACCAGTGGTGAATGTTCCCTTCTCATGGGTTATTGGTGTCTAGAATCTCTGCTAAGGATGTGTTGTCTGGGAGTGGGAGCTTTGCTTAGGGACAGTTTAGCCCCCATTAACAATAATCATTCCTGACATTTGTGTAATATCTGACATTTAAGGGCACCTCTCATCCCAGAGCATCATAACCATGACTGTGCAGTTTGCCAGAGAATCATGACTGGACTGGCTAGAAATTGCAATGCTTTGCCAGGACTGCCACGTACTTCTGAACTGGTTTTGACATACTAGATGTAAGATCTTTATATTTCCTTTCTGTTTTGGAGTGTTTAAATAACTCCCATTCAGTGTTCCTTGAGACCGTGGAGACCGACAAGTGTTCTGTGTTCACAGACTTACTCAGAACTCATCACTGAGTTTTCTATTTGTTCTTTTCAAATGTAACCCTGAAGGAACTGCAAAACAAGGGCTTCAGTCTTAACTTGAGTCTTAAACAATAAAAGTTTAAATATGACAGCTCAATTACCTGAGTTTACGGAAGGAAGCAATAGTATACTAAAGAATAGCCTCCTTGCCCACATTCCCACTCAATTCCCAGGAAAGCCTTTTACACCTAAAGCAAGTATCTACCTACTTCTCACTCAAGGAAAAAGTGTGAGCCAAATGAGGAGCAAATTTGAAGCAGAAATTTGATACAGTTTGGCATATCAAAGCTCAGGATGGGCAAAGCAATAATATCTCAGACTGAGCTCTGAGAGGTGTGGACCAAAGGAATTGAATGGAGAATTGAGAATAAGAACAGCCAAGGTGATAAGCAAAATACTTAGTAAACATGTAAATTTAAAACATTTAATTCCCAGTATTCTCTAAACAGAAGCATATATGAGTTTTAATGCAAATTTATCAATTTCAAATACAACCTCACCTGCCGATTTCTAAAAGTGATTGCTAACCTTTGGTTTGATGTGCTGTCTGTCACTAGGTAACAATGTCCCAGTCTGAAAAATGATTGACATAGGAACACACATGGAATTCTTCCAATGACTTCCCCAATAACTCGATAATCATTAGGCTATTTAGAGTCTCATTAGATAGATAATTTCTCATAAGATCAGCAATATTGTTCATGTTGCTGACTCCTCTCTCAGCTTCTGCTGAACTGACAGCAATTTCATTCAAAATGTTTCTAGCCCTGGACAGCTACATGTAAGAGAATGAAATTGGATCACTGTCTAACCCATACACAAATATAAATTCGAAATAGATCAAAGACCTGAATGTAAGTCATGAAACCATAAAACGCTTAGAAAAAAACATAGGCAAAAATCTCATGGACATAACCATGAGTGACTTCTTCATGAACATATCTCCCCAGGCAAGGGAAACAAAGGCAAAAATTAACAAGTGGGACTATATCAAGCTAAAAAGTTTCTGCAAAAAGGTATCCTACAGTATGGGAGAATATATTCATAAATGACAGATCCGATAAAGGATTGACATCCAAAATATATAAAGAGCTCACACACCTCAACAAAGAAAAAGCAAATAATCCAATTAAAAAATGAGCAGAGGAGCTGAATAGACAGTTCTCTAAAGAAGAAATCCAGATGGCCAACAGGCACATGAAAAGATGCTCCACATCACTAATCATCAGAGAAATGCAAATTAAAACCACAATGAGATATCACCTCACACCAATAAGGATTGCCATCATCGAAAAGACAAACAACAACAAATGTTGGCGAGGTTGTGGAGAAAGGGAAACCCTTCTACACTGCTGGTGGGAATGTAAATTAGTTCAACCATTGTGGAAAGCAGTATGGAGGTTCCTCAGAATGCTCAAAATAGAAATACCATTTGACCCAGGAATTCCACTTCTAGGAATTTACCCTAAGAATGCAGCACTCCAGTTTGAAAAAGACAGATGCACTCCTATGTTTATCGCTGCACTATTTACAATAGCCAAGATATGGAAGCAACCTAAATGTCCATCAGTAGATGAATGGATAAAGAAGATGTGGTACATATACACAATGGAATATTACTCAACCATAAGAAAAAAACAGATCCTACCATTTGCAATAACATGGATGGAGCTAGAGGGTATTATGCTCAGTGAAATAAGCCAGGCAGAGAAAGACAAGTACCAAATGATTTCACTCTTAAGTGGAGTATAAGAACAAAGAAAAACTGAAGGAACAAAACAGCAGCGGAATCACAGAACCAAGAATGGACTAACAGTTACCAAAGGCAAAGGGACTGGGGAGGATGGGTGGGAAGGGAGGGATAAGGGTGGGGAAAAAGAAAGAGGGCATTATGATTAGCATGTATAGTGCATGGGGGTCATGGGGAGGGCTGTGTAACACAGAGAAGACAAGTAATGATTTTACAGCATCTTACTACGCAGATGGACAGTGACTGTGAAGGGGTATGTGGGGGGGACTTGGTGAAGGGGGGAGCCTAGTAAACATAATGTTCTTCATGTAATTGTAGATTAATGATACCAAAATAAAAAAATAAAAAAATAAATGTTTCTAGCCATTGTATAAGTTTTTTTCTGTATATTCCAGATCTCTGTTACCAACTAAGTCACACACACAAAAAAATTTTTTGAATGTAAATTGAAGAGGGGTGATGTTTATGAGGGCTGACTCTAATGGCAGTCAGACCTCCTGAGTTCAAACTGTGGCTCTGCTACTTGAATTTTAAATAACCTCTGAATCTCAGTTTCCTCATCTATTGAACATGGATGGTGGTGATAATTAATAGTTACTCAAATGAGTTAAGATATATGCTTGGCACAGAACAATTACTCTGACAAGTACTTGCCCTCATTTTCATTAATAACAGTAACGTGGCTAATACTATGATAGGAGGACATCCAGTGATTTAGTAAACTTGACAAAATAAATGAAGAGAGAACCTGTTTCCCTTACTTCTCCCAGCCCCACACTAACCCTGCATGAACCATTTGGACCAAACAGGTTCTCATCTGTCAAACCATTCCAACAGAAGCCTCATGTTTGTAGACTCAAATTCCTGCATACCTAGTGCTTACCTAGTCTTTAGCAGAATCTCTGAGAACCAAAGCCCAATGGAGGCTGCAGTTCCCGGAAGCAGCCATGGAAGAGCACCTCTAGGGGTAACTAAGCTGGTGGTGGTTGTAACCTGGGACATTGCCCTCTAGGGTGCCAGCACTACCTCCAGAAATGCCATCTCACTCCACCCATTATGACCTGGGAGACATGTGGAGATGGGGAAACTTAAACCAGAGTCAAGGTAAACTGGCTGGGGTACCACCCATCCAGAGTTCTTCCTACCCCCACCTAAGAGCATAGACAGGGCACAAGTCTGCCCATAAGCTACCTCATTAGTTGGACCTATGAGGGGCTGGCTGGCACCTATGCTAGCCAGTAAGACTAGATGAGATCCCTTGCTAGAGCAGGGGTTAAGCCTTTAGTTGCTGGATAACAGGGCAGTCCAAAGTAGAGGCCTGAGCAGCTGGACCAGTGTGAAAGCACAGAGGTTAGACCAATGGGTATTTACTAACCCCTATGTTAGAATTTTAATATTTTAACAAATTTACAACCTTGTGAGTGCTAGATGTGGCCTGAGTAGAACCATCCCAACTGTCCTCGGAAGGGGAGAAATCCTTGTACTCCGGATTCAGTCATTTCTCCAACATTCAGCAAAAGTTGGCAGGTCTGCCTGCTGCCGGGGATAAAATAAAGAAAAGGTCTTCTCCTCCCTGCTCCTAAAGCTCCCACAATTCTCATACTTAGTGGTC